GGCAAACACTTGCAGGGTCTAATCCGGCGTGTTGCGTCAGAGAAAATATTGCTCGCACTTGTCCTCAGCACTCCAGCAGCGAGTCATAGTGCTGTCATTCACACAAAATGCCCATAACAGCTGCTACAGAAGTACAACGTTTAAGGGGCAAACTCAGACTGAAAAGTCAAACAAGTCTGAATAAAATCAGCTCCCTTCTTTGGCTGGTGGTTTCCCAAAGGATGCTACTTTTGCTTTGAATACTGTAATAATACACAGTCTGAATCACAGCTCTAAAGTGAACCAAAGTGCAAGAAGTCCAGCTTCAAAATAGCACAGGTAGAATTGCAATTCTCCAGCACACCTCAAGTCCTGCAACCTTCATCGCCCAGCGCAACCAAACATCAGGCTGACTCTGTTTGATCTTGAAAGGGATATAAGCCTAAAGCCCTTCCTGCGTGAGATGTCCTTCTTTAAAAAGATTCTAATCTCAACTGAAATGTCTAGCAAAATAGAGGTCATCGTGTCAGAGCACCCAGCAGACAATAGCACCCGGCTACAGACCTGAGAGGAATTCTGGGAGGATTTGTTTCTCTCACCTGGGAGATATTGGGACATCAATGGCTGAAAGAGCAGCCACACAAACAAAGTGAAGTGCGCTGTCATCTTGTTTTGTTTTCACAGATGAGAAATCACAGATATGTCACTGATTAAGCCACACTATTTTTAAATTTGAATTATGACCCCCTTTTGTGTTTCTATCAATAAAACCTTGTTTTTTTTTCCTCTTCTCATTCACCAGCACTCCCAGGTACTTCCCTCCCATTGTTAATTTAAAAGCTGATAGCATATCCGTTCCCTGCACACCGCTCATAATTCAATGACGAGAGCACCATTCAACCTTCTAAACTCCCATCATCCCCCTTGAATGTTGATTCAATTGGTTTATCTAATTTTCCAGTAAATGCTTGAAATGTATTCCTGCACACCTTCTTCACTTGAAGCTACACAAGGGAATCAGAAAGAATGAGACAGAAATTAATAGTTTTTGCATTAGCTTCACTTCAACACACCACCAACACTAGAGCAACTACAAATTCCAGATTCAAGTTTCCAAGCACAAGTTGCATCCTTGATTATCTCCACATAAAGCAAAATGAAGTGTGTACCTCTTCATGAATTAAACAGAAACGCAAGCAGCATGTGCAGCTGCAAAAAGTTTGCAGAAGGGTAAAATTGAATCTTTTCCTTCAAACAGTAGGTGTAACATTTAGTGTTTACAGCCATGTCCAAAAGCTTAAGCCCACTTAATACTAGACTGTTCACAAACAAACAACAGACACGTTCGAGTTTGACAGTAATTTAAAAGATATTTTTGAGTCTTATTTATTATATGGCCATATAAAGATAATTTTTCGCCATTTGATTGAATTTCATGTGACCTCCGCATAACACGAAGTGCAAGTTTACGTTTCAGAAAAAGTCCACTTTAGCATTTTTCCCAAAAATTAACTTTAAAGCAAAACAGTTTTGACTACGTATATGCTAATGAAACCACTAAGTAGGTAACAACCTACTGATTTAACAATCCTCCTTCACATGGACACTGTTTAAAATGTAAATAAATGATGTGAAAAAGATGTGAAATGTCACGTTCAAACTGATAAACTGTTTTGTTTTTTATTTTTATATCGTTGCCAATTTTATTCACGTTTCATACATGCCTCGATGTGTTAATAGGGGTTGTAGCTAATTGCAAATTAAATGTATGCTCTTAAAATAGTCGATGATATCAAGATAAACTCAAAAGTGAAAAGTTTAGATTCCTGACACTCAAACAGACAGCACATAGATATTCAATAACATAATTAGTATTACCAAGGCTGCAATTAATGATTATTTTTTAAAGCAGTAAAAAGTTGGTTGAGAACATTGAGTAAACAAAACATGTGGAAAGATATCACAGGAGCATTAGCGGCTCTAACCTACCAGACTACTTAGATTCCTTGAACATAAAAAGGGGGAAATTAGTGCATTAAGCATGCCGAGCAAGTGCCAGAAATATGCACAGAATTGATGAGGTGTCACTTTCACTAAGAGTCACACAAATGCACCGACAAGAGCCTATGTGATCCCTCCCTTCCTGTCTGCCACCAATGAGGCACAAACACTCTGATTTGCATGGTCTGCATAAAAAAAAAGGAATGTCCTTGATTTGGGGAAAGGTTGCCTTGCTCTCTGCAGCCCTGGAAACACGACCAGCATGCAAACCCCTAACACCACTAGAACCATCTCTTTGGCTTACTTGTTCAGTATCCTATGAGCCCATAGAATATCAACAAATCTGCATCCTGGTTACACAACATGGGGCTTTTCCTGAATGAGCCTCTTATGATTAAATTTGGTAATAAATGACACGGCATGCTAACAACCTTCGCCGACAGCATTTGATCCCCCCCAAATGCCTGGATTTACATTTTTAGATCAATTTCAAAGTCATGTTAATTAATTTAGACTGCTAGCAGCACAATGCAGGTCAGACAGGGCAAACAAGTTACAACATCAGCCAATTAGAAACACACCAGTGTTAGACATTTTTTCATAACTGGGGCAGTGATAGTAAGCTAAATATGACAGATGGAAACTGAAAGTGATAAGAAACCATCAGTTTTTCTTGCTGTATCCATCACCACTGTAATTTTTGTCTAGATCAGTTTCTCTACAACAGATACATAAATCCCTTCATCTTTAATCTAACAAAAAAGAAGCCTGCGTAAAATAATATTTTACTGTTTGTCAATGACAGATTGTCTTTTTGAATCTCCTGTTCCATCTGAGACTGTCTGGGGCCTTATCATCTGGTTGTTTTTCACTCAATTAACTTTCATCACTGCAGATGACTATATTTAAATGGTCACAATGTGTTAATCAAAAGCATGGATGGTTGCTTTTCGCATATTGGTTCTAAGATTTGTCATGGTGTGTGTTTAGGTCTAATTACTAGCAGTAATTCTCAGATAAGAAAAAAAATGTTTTCATCTATCAATAAGGGCAAACTCAAAGTGATATATTCATCAAGCTGTCTCCTGAGAAAGAGAACAGGTTGGCGAATGAATTCTGCAGCAAATGAAGCAGCATATAGTAAGTCTGGGTTGGGGAAATACAGTGCAACATGTTTTAGACTGGAGTATACGTTTGTCTACACGTGTAAATACATCGTGCATTGATCAAATATGTGACGGCTGAAAATGATGGCTGTGAGTGAATTGTCTCCAAAGATCAGAATGATTAGATTCAGTTGTTTTGGGATTAACTCTTACTTGTTGTGGATTTATTTATGTTTTTTTGCACTGCACAGATTATAGGATAAAATATTTCACGTCTTCCACATGCCTGTACTGGATTAAGATTTAAGGAGCCATAACTCATTCTGCAGTTCATTTTTCCAGGAGATTGATTATTCCAATCTGAAACATATTTAATTATGTTTTTAACTCCACAAACATCAAACAAGACAAATATTCTTTTAAGTAAATAAACATGAGCTACAAAAACAAATTAAAAGATTCAGGCCTTCAGGAAAGGAAAAGGAAGAAACCAAAAGCAAATAGCTTTGTGACGTAGCCTTTCTTAAGCAAAGCATTTTATGGATTTGACTTTCAAGGGAGGAAAAAACATGTAAAGTGGTGTGTTTATCTCCCTTAATGTGATGCAAATTTGAAATGTGAGACACCTTGAGCTTTCACAGCGCCCATGTTAAAAACTGTTTACATCAAGAGGCCCTCATGATGCTTGCTAAATAAGGAAGCGGGGAAGTTTTCTGAATAAGCGTCAACATGCTATTGACATCAACCTTGATTTATGCCAAACACGTTTTCCTTGCAGAATGAGTCAATAGTAAACATAAACTACAACGTTGGACAGACATTTTACAGGTGGCTCAGTTTAAATAAAGATATAGGGAGTAAAGAGTTTGAGTCTAATTCTTATATATGCCCAAAGTATCTGTTGAATCACAATTAAATGCCAGACAGGTAAAGGAGGCAATCATACATCAATAAGAGAGAACTTATGTTACGCAGCTGAAATACAATATCAAAAGAAGCTTGGCTTAACACCAAGACAATATATTTAGAAAAATGTCATTCATTTGTTGCAAAGGTGCTGGGGAGTGCTTCTAAAGCTGCACTTTATATGTTGTGAATAAATCACACAATATTTAACACAAAATAGAAACATAAAAGATAATAATTCCTGTATGACTTTTAAAAGAGGTAAAAAAAAATCATTTTGAACGGTCCATTTTCTGCAATCTGAAGGTGAACATACAGTGGCGATTCTAGAGTCTGTTGGGGCCCTGGCCAAAAATCAAGTCGGGGGCCCTCCAACCAGCGCTCATCACCATCTTCCTTTTTTTTTCCTGTTTCTTTATTCTCTCAGATAGACGCATAACTGTTCTTAATTTTTCTTTGTTGAATTTCATTGACAAACTTTGGTTTTCACAGCAATAATACACACAATGCTTAGCAGTGCAACAAGAGTGAGTGCTGTCAGATGGGGCCTCCAGAGGGAGGTTTCCCTACTGTTTGGTTTACGTTTGTGAGCCCTCAGGGGCCCCTCTACTGGTCTGAGGCCCAGAGCTGTTGCCTGCCTTGCCTGTTGACAAGCAGAGCCTCTGGGAGCAAGAAATAATTAAATAAACTTTAATTAAGCTAATAGATTATGTGTTTTGAATTATGTATTATTATTATATTCTAAGTTGCAAGGTAACAGTTTGACCTGCCATATGCATGTAATCTATTTGCCAACATCAACTAACTATACCTATCTGGCACCATGTAATGTATTTGAGATCTTACTAGTTTTATGGACAATGATATTTAGTGTTACCTTTGAACTCTTATGTCAAGGTGTAGGTTTTTTTTTTTTTAACAAAGAGAGTATTGATAAAACACACACACAGTTTTGCACAGAGGCGGATTGATAAGCTAGAGGTATGACATATTGAGCAGTGGCCTTACCTCATTAGTGTTCCACCGGTGTCTCTCCTTTGGCAGCGAGGTGCATTTTGGTAGACATTCAAGCAGCTTCTTGGGCAGATATATTTTCAAATGTCCATGTTCATCTGCAACAAGAGCGAGACAAAACAGAATTAGCACAGAGCTCATACCTTATTGACTGGCTCATCTCCCTCTTTATCAGTCTATCAGTCTCTCTGGAGCAAAAACGCTGACAGGAAAATAACTATCCCCAACTGAATTAGGAAAATTAATTTAAGAATAGAATATTGCATACATTTTATTTTGCGCTCGGCTAAATTATTTTACTGTGAAATGTATTCTATCAGGGGAATTCACCGGAAATTTTTCACTGTCAACTTGTAAAGGCTGTGTCGATTCATTATTTAGACACAATAAACACCCTTGAGTGATTTTATAGTGTATGGGGATTTAGCATGGGAGTCTGTGTGCTGCACAGCAGAATGTGGTTTATTATTCAGGGAAATAATTACAATTACCAAGCCCAATGCTTACATCATAATGCATGTCCTTCAATCTATAATTTACATTTCATATTCGGTTCACAAGCATCAAAAACAGTAAAACAGTAAACAGTAAAGATGGACGGATACATTTGAATGTTCGTCTCATTTTATTGCATTGTTTCTGCTCAAATATGCAGAGGGCTTAAGAGAGAACAATTTACATTTGTTTAGGGAGACTAACGCATGTAGAATTTATAATATAAAGAATTATCAGATTATAGTCTTGGGGTGTGTGTTTTTTTTTTTTATCACAACATCAGAAACATACTTAAGTGGAAATATTTGTAGTGATTATGATTAGCAGACAAAAAGAGAATAATCTAAGCAAGGATCTTATCATTACCAATGAGTATGAATGCAAAAATACAGTGATTGTCAATAGAGATATGTGAGAGGAACATTTGAAAAAAAAAAAAAATTGTGAAAAATAATATCAGGTGCATCAACGTAAAGAAAAGGTCAGTTTGGGAGAGGTGAATGGATCCTTAGAAACATCAAAGATAGAGTTCTATCAGACCATGTCATCAAGGAACTATTGTATCAACATTTTCAAAAAGTACATCAACATTATGAGTGTCCTTGTCCATGTATTCGACAGTAACGTTCAGGTGATTCCTGTCCCCCTCTTACACAAAATAAGAGGATTTAAATGTCTTTGTATACACCAGACCTTTAATGTATTTACAAACTGTACCACTGCATAAACTGAATGCAGATTTAGCCGAGGTAATGTTCAAGCTCATGCAAATGAATCTATCATCCAGTTTTTATGTGTGCGCAATGAATGTAAATAAATTCACTAAAGAATAAATAAAGCATTTATTTGGAGTGCAATTTAGCTTGAAAATGAATTACTTCTAGAAAGCAGCATTGTTTAACATTTATAGGACCGTTGGTTAGGGTAGGAGGGGGAAATATAGGCAAGCTTAGGGAGAGAAAAAGGAGAGAAAAGCCTGAATGTGAATGCTGACTATGGATCCCTGGGGTAGTGGTTCAATGGTTGACTATAGAAAAAATATGAGAAAAAGTTCAATCAAAGCAAAATACGACTTTAAAGGAAACACAAATACACCAAGCAGTGCACTTGATTATGAGGATAAAGAAAGAGAGTGTGGAGCTTGTTGTACATCAGAGCAAGAGGAGAGTGCTACTGCCCAGAAACATCCATATGGAAAATTCAATGGGAATGAACACAGTGGGTCCACAGAGATGGAGCTGGCTCAGAGCCTCTAAGTGTAATGCGTAAGGTGGAACATCATCGCTCCCAAAGGAACACAGGAGTAGATGGGTAGTATTTGCCATTTCCATCTGTACCTACAATTCTGCATGTAGACTCTGTTTTATATGAGCTGCACAGGTAGCTGTAACCATTCGCTTTGCCCAATTAAGAATCACATACAGCATCTGCTCCCAGGTACCACCACAGCGGTTTCACTGTCAGAACTGGAAAACACGCTGCAACTGAATGATCAGAGAGGTACCAAAGAAAAAAGAAAGGTGTTTTTGTGAACAGATGTGTTATTATATTACAGACATCTAGGCTTTCCGGCTCCTTTGGAGCTCCAGGAAGACTGCTAACAGGAGCTAAATTACATTACACCAGCTATAAGAAGCTAGCTGGCTATTGCAGCTAATGAAGCGTTTGGGTGGGGTTTGTTCTTTCCTGATCATAAACTTAATTTATGACATAGTGACTTAGGGTGTTAGATGAATGGTAAAACATCTGACACCAAGAAAAAAGGACAAAGATGCCATTTTTAGCTGATAAAGTACAGGAAGCAGCATGACAAGGCAGCATGTAAATGTTGGTTAAATGTGCCTTAACGGTGGAGAGAGATACAAGTGCTTGACCAGAGGTGATTTATCTGGAAATGTGCAGCTGTTTCGCCTAAAATAATGTGTATTACAAAATAGACAGGGTTTAACTAGAGTTGAAGTAATAAGACAATATTCATACTTGCATACAATGACTGACACACTGGTTCAACAGCCAAAAGCCAAGAGGTTGTGTGTGAAAATGAATAAATTGATCACAAGCTCAATTTCCAATACAAATGGCTGGCTTGGTTTTGTGAAACAAATGTTAATTTTTTTTTGTTTTTCTTCCTCAGAATGCTGCACAGCTAACAGACAGGAAGTGGGATATACTATTCAATGCATTCACATTGAAGAAAAAAAAAGGGCTTAGCCTCATAAAAAAATGAGCATAGTGGTTGTTGCGGAAGTTGCTTGCTATCCCCTTTGGTTGGCTTTTCAATATTACAATATCATTTTCGCTAGCAAATGTCGGTAATCTCCAAGTTTTTGAATAAACATCAGGTAATAGTGATTATTACACAGAGCACTGGCCACCACTTGAGCTACCTTTTACTGAACGTATTTATGAAAAACAAAGGGTAAATGTAAACCTTATGTGGGAAGATATGATCAATGTCTACATAAGATGTACAAAAAGGTTATTGGTTCTATGTAAATAATGTGCTTTTAGACAAAAAAAAAACAGTTAGTTTAGACTGCTGATTTTTTTTATCTTTCACTAAAAGGGTGAGAAGGAGCAAAGTCCTTCAATTTGAAGCCCACTCACAGACAAAAAATTCATAGCAAATCCTAACACACACACACACACGTATACATTGCAGACTTCCATCCTACAAAATGTGCTCTGAAGATTTTCTCATTGCAACCGACAGACAGCAGTAGCAGCAGATACATATGGCAATCTGTCTCTGCACAGATTATTCAGGATTCAGTGTTGCCCTCTGGCGCAGCCTCCTATGACACCATTGAGACAGAGCTGAATTGGAATATGCCTCAAGTATGTTAAGGATTTTCTCACCGAGAGAGACGAGATAGAAATCTACCGTAGGAGGACATGTCTGTTCAATCTGCTGGCAGGCAAAAATACTCAGGATTAGAATATACAGCAAAGAGGATCTTGACAAATGCAATAAAATCTCTCACTTGGGTTTAATAATTTCACAACCTTATAATTACACCGGTCATTGCACAAAATCTCTGTGTAGTAAGTATTATATGCTCTACAACTCTCTCCATGGACCCATTTGCCATGCAAAACACATCTCAGTTCAGTATGCTGTGCACATGAAAAGGGGACCCGACTGCAACATGCATTTTACTTTGAAATGCCAGTCTTGTATTTGTCAGCTAACAACCCCCCAAAGCAACAGAGCAACCTGTGTAAACCCTGCAGGACTAACAAGGTGTTAACTGGGTTTCTCTTAATCCTCTAACCTTTCATGGACGCCTCTGAAATCAGGTTACAGCCAAAACTGGGGTACTGATCAGATTACTAATGTGCATGTAAACACGCTGAGTGCAAAAGGACATATCTCTGCTTTGAAGTTATTCTCACAAGAGACTACAGCAGACAGTTGTGACATCAAAACAGGTTATTTTTTTCAACATAACTTTTACCTTATCAAGTATAAATCTTAATTGGCTCATTAGTTACATTATGGATAGCAGAACTTTTCACCTGTTTTATAAGCTGATGAGCTATGTTAAAAAGTCAATTAAGGTCATGTGAGCCTATTGCTTACAGATGTTTGTGTTGTCTGAAATGTTATAATCTAACATTGTGGGGCCTCAATTGGACATAAATCAAATGACTGCATCCTTAAGTATAATGTAGCCATGGATCCTTGGCAAGTTGAGACTTAATCTTTTTATCCTACAAAGGGTTTACGTTTTAGCAAATGGTGCATTTTAATGTTTACTGTTACATTTACTGTTTTTTTCTCAATAGGAAATTAGATCTTCAGAAAGTATAAGTCATACAAGACCTGAAAAAAAATGTGCATCATGTCTGTTGAGATTTGACCTCAAAACCCCAACATGCACCTGGCTGCCTCGGGGCTTCTCCTCTACCCCCTGCAAATTCCCTCACAGTTTGAAACCCCCCCCCTGCAGCAAGATACATTTAAGCATGTGATTTACAATTTTAAATTATCTGAAGCCTCTGTAACAGATACACAGTGCAGTGAGAATACTTTGTAAAGCACATTAAATTTAGCTTTAAGCGAAGCCCAACCTTCATGGGATTTTTTAGGCTAATTTTTCAACGGAGGGGAACTCCAATAATTATTACTGATATGGTGACTGACATAAGGAAGTTTTGATCACTGATTATGCATCAGCATGACCAAGTAAAACTAACTCAGAAGACTGCTATATTTAACAAATAGCTTAATCAAAGAATTTAAGTGGACTGCCATCCCCTCAGCTGTGGTATTCTACTGCATGTGCTGCAGACAATGCTGAGAGTGCTTTAAGCTATGTAGCGCAAAGCGTTCTGCTGGACAAACTGTGATGACTCCAGTTCTTAAGAGCATTTGTTTTTTACATTACATTTTTTGTAAAATAAGATTACATTTTTATACAGATACATCAGTGATAAGTCCATACCCACTGGATAATATTGGCCGACTGATACATCTCTGTACAGCTAGCTTAAAGTGCAGACTATCTGTATGAAAGGGTGAGAGTGCATTGCCTTTGTAACCACAATACCACTCTGGCATTATGCTTACCACACAGAAAAGGCAACTGAGTAGTTTTTA